ACACGTAGTTCATATATACATTACCCGCACCCCCCCCCTATGCCACCCACCTCAACCTTCATGCCCCCCTCCCCCCCCAAAAAAAAAACACAAAAAAACAACAACAACAAAAAAAAAAACAACAACACGGCAAATAGAGAAAGCACAATGAGAAAAATTTTCAACAACCGCTACAGCCTACACCTCTTGACCTTGAAACCCCAAAGTACGGTACCTACTTACACCAATCCAGTGTGTTTTAGCAGTCGCCCACGTCACACACTTCCATCTCCTCACTGGCAGATTTCCCGGTACACGGCAGTCCGTCTTGACATCTGTTGGACCTGAACCGCTGACCAAGTCCACACGTGACGCTGCACTCACTCCAGTCACCCCAAGAGTAGGTCTCTAACAGGTAATACAAATAGGTGGTGGTTTTGTGGGGGTAGAGGGGGTGTGTGGACCAGAACGTTTTTCATTATTAAATATTTGTTGGCATAAAGTATGCAATGATTAAATAATTAGAAAAAAAATAAATCATTAATTTATTCGGATCTCAGTTAATTTAAATTTTCTTCCCTGAAGTAATTTAAATAAAATCGTATCGATGATTGTGTTATACTGTGACGGATAAAAAACATTGTCCGAGAATTAAACGGGCCAGTGTGGGCTTTGGAAGGTGTAAATGGTGAGGTTGGAAAGTGTTTAGGGATTTGTGGAAGTGGAAAAGTAGGATAGGATTTACTAAGGATAACCGGAATTTGTGGCTACCAAAATTATATGAGAGAGAAAGAGACCTGGAGCTACAGGGTGAGTAAAATAACTACCTGGCTTCTTTGAGCTGGAGTCGACCTCTATGTACGCGACTTCATCTTCGGGTTCATCTCTTTTCCCGTTGTCGTCAACTTCTATTACGCCTTCTTCCTCCTGTACCTTACTCTGTTTCAATTCAACCGTTTCATCGTCCGCATCTGGCTGCGTCCACTCATCCGAGTCTTCATTCTCGATCTCTTCGAGTGCGTAGTCCTTGGTTTTCGGAACAGGCTCTTTAGTTTTGGGGCGGTGGCTCTTAAAGAACTGATCGGTGGCGTCCAGTTTCGGGGCGCCTTTGATTTCAGCTTTTATTTTTTTGCCGATTTTCTTTTCATTTATGTTAACTTTCATTAGATTTTTGTAGCCTTCTATTTTATCCCCCTCAAAGACTTTTGGCTTTTTTGTTCTCGCTCGGGCACCCGGTTCTGCTTGTTCTCCCTTCCTCTTCGGGGATCGGCGTTGACGCCGGAAGTAGTTGTGTTCAGCTTCGGTGTCGTACTCTTCGGTCTTCTCTCCATTTTGGTTTTGCGAGGCCTCGGTTTCGAGATTATCGGTGGAAGCTTCGGTGTCGGGTGCTTTGGCGTCATTCCCGGCGTTGTCGTTTGGCGCCCTCTCATAAGATTGTGTCACGTCGATCAGGGACTCGTCGATATCAGGATTCACCTCTGCATCTAGGATCAGAGTCTCGTCGTTTGCTTCCTTGACGGCGCTTTCAAAGTCGTCCGTCGGCGGAGTGCTGGTGGCTTTGGTGACCGGGGTGGTTTCGTCGCCGCTTTGTGTGACGTCACGTTTATCGTCATTGGATTTGGTTGAATCGACTTCTTCGAATTCCCTTTCGGCATCTTCGCCGGTTGGCTTATTCCCAGCGTTCTCGTTTGTATTTTCATCTTCCTCCGCCGACGCGACGTCGTTACGCTTGCGTAGGAGTTCATCGTAATGGATCACGTCCATCTCCTCAATTTCCTCGTCATTCTTCTTGGCATCCTCCGAATCCACGCGCCTGTGCCGCAGGTCGGTCTCCTCATTGAGTATGGGGCTGGCGAGGTTCATGGACGCACCCCCTGGAAGAGGCAGAGCCTCCACCTTGGTGTCGCCGTCGTACCCGGCAGACGTCCTCAGGACTTTGGCCGCGGCCCTCGAGACCTTAACGTCCCCGGCTATCAGCTTGGGAACCGCGTCCAGGTAGACGGGGTCGTCCTCGAAATTTCTGTTGATGTTCCTGGCCGAGTTAATGAGGTCAAGCTGCTCCTCCTCCACGGATAGATCTTGTTCGGGGTAGGATTCTCGACCCTCCTCATCAAATCTCTTGGTTTCCCGAGGTTTCCTAGAACGCATGTGTCCAGATTCGGCAACGGAGTCCCACGCCATTCGTTTATAATTGAAGGGCAGGGTTTTCAGCCTCTCTTGGGGGTGGATGTTTGTCCGCTCAATGTCTCGGGGATTGATATATCCAGTTCTACCCTTGGAGCCGTACATGTTTTCTATGTTGAAGTCACCTTTGGCACCATCATCCCGCCCTCGATGCTGGATCAAGTTAGAGCTTCCACGAGCGACCGCTTCTCGTGAAAGGAAGTCACCACCGCCCCGCCTCACCCTGTTCTTTTGCGTGAACAAGTCGCCGGCGTCCTCCGTGTCAAGGAACGGCACGTTGTCTTCCTCATCCAGTTTCATTATAGTGGCTGTCAGGTCGTTGGACTGAGACTCCCTGTCGTCCTCTTTGCGCAGCTGGTCCACTATGGACTTTTCCAGCCCGGATTCGGGAAAAGCCTTCAGCAGTTGCATTATTTCCCGTTTCGTCTGCATCTCGCGCCTGGATTCCGGCTCCCTTTTCTCAACGTTTTGTCGCGCCCCGCGTTTCCGCCTTCCCTGTGTTGTCAGTGGAATGGTTAGGATGTCCGAGATGAGTTTGGCATACAGTCTGTACGGAAGAGCAGGGACTTCAACGCCGAGAAGATCGCCATCAGAAGAGCGTACGTGGCCTTTACCGGGTAAGCCCGAAGATGTATGACTTTTAATGGCATCGCGCCGATCATAATCGCCCCAGACTTCGGGGTTTCCCAAAAATTGGAACGAGTCGTCGATCTGGTCGTCATGTTTCTTATGAGTATTCCCATCATCCTTTGGTTCGTCGTACAAAATGGGTTGTTGTTCATTTGAAACTATCTCACCCTTGTTGCCATCAAATCTTTGCCTGGCCGAAAAGAACGGGAACCCTAATTCGGGTCGGTTTCTGTGAAAACTTCTCGCCCCTGCATCATTATTCCCCGCATATACTTCTGGCCCTACCGTCTCCTGATTTGGTTCATCATCAAAATCGGTCGGGCTCTTCATATGAAATTTGCGCCCGAAGCCGTCGTACCAAACACGCCTCTGATCGCCGATAAAGTCGACTCGTCCTAATCCCCCTTTCCGACCACCCCAAGCTGTTGTCGCGGACGACGGGTTCTCTATCTTCTTGACCTTGGGTGGTTCTCCAGCAGGTGGAGGGCGGTCGGGAAAAGAGTTTTGTCCAGTGCCTTTATCAGAATTTTGACGGGGCCCGTATTTCCCGCCCAGTTTTAACGACGCCTTCAGTTTATGCTTCGCCGGGAAGGGTTTAATTTCAGCCACCGCTTTGACGGTTACATACTGAAGTCTGTCTATTTTAGCTTTGTTATCAGCGCGCGTTTTTGGCTCGTGGAAGGCGCGTGCATCCTTCGGCCGTGAGCTCCACGAATCATTTTTCCGCGTGCTTGAAGGTCCGCCCGAACGGTCACTCTCCGGACCTTCCGGGTTGTGGACGGAGGTTGCGTTGATATCGGATGTATGGTTTGATCTTTTCCCCGTCCTAAAGTCATTTTTCGATTTGTCTCCACCTTCTTTGAACGCGTTGCTGTGAACGTTTTTCTGGTACCTCAGTCTGTATTGGGGTTTACCGTTGACCGATGGTGCCTCGTATTGACCGGTTGACTTGGGCCAACTCTTGCCATGTGTTTTACTCAAGAGGTCTGGGTGAGAAGAGGGACTCTCATAGGAGCCAACTCCAAAACCTGCAGGTCGTTTCAAATTCATGGTGTTGCCTCCCTTAGCTTTTCTATGCTCCCCAGATTCACCGGACGGCTTTTCCGTTTCGGAACCGGCCATCGCCCTCACACCAGTCGAATTATGGATTATCTGAAATGTACTTGGACGAGACATTTGACGAATAATTTGTATCAATTTTCTAAGGTCCACGGGAGGCGACCCCCTTGTGTTTTTAACTCCTGATGTCGGCTTAAAATTTGTTTTCGCGCTGAGAGGCCCACCCTGCTTGAACACCTCTCGCCTAAGTCTTCTCGTTTTCAGCGAACGGTCAATTCTCCGTATTGGTACCTCCCCTTCAAACTCCACATTGGTGACATCGCCTTCCTCTGAAGCGCCCAGAGCTTGAAGATCGCCGCCAAATTCGAATTCGAGCTTAGTCAATGCCTCGGATATTTCCGAAAACATTCGCCTCAGTTTCACACCCCATTCCGGTAGCGCGCCTAGTAGAATGGGGTGTCTTTCAATGGCTGCGTTTAAGTCCTCGTAAGACTCGCCATTGTTAACAACTGTCGCAGCCTCGTCACGTGTCGCCGGTCTTCTCAAGTTTTGCCTTCGCTTCGGTTCACTTGGCGGTATTTCTGGTTTCCTCAGGGGCTCATTCTCAACACCCATTTTTATGGTTGATTTTGGATATGCTTTGGAACGACCCGCTTCAGAACTAGATCGTTTTCTCCTATCCCTTGCCGTCCTCAACATATCTCCTCCTCTCTTGACATCCATTTCGGCCCTCCCTGATCTTTTTGCTATCCTCGCCTTCTGCATCGCTTCCTTTCTCCGCAAGTCATTTTCAATCTTGGCCAGTTTGTCGTTAAGCTCTTTCAGGGTCGAGTGCGGCAGCTTTTTACGCTGTGACGCCGGTGGAGTCGTCGGGGCGACAGCCACTTTATTAGGGGTCTCCGGCTGAGCTTTCCCGGGCTCAGGTTTGGGAGCTGGTGTCGGCGCCTTGGTGACTCTTTTCCTGATTTTCGAACCAGATTTTCGGTACCGACTGCCGCGGCTGTCATCGTCTCTATCATAATTCTCCTCTCCGTCTTCACTGTCGTCGCCGTCATCGTCATCGTACTCCCCACCGTCCTCATCGTCATCACTGCCACTCCTTACTTCAACATCGTCGTCGTCGTCCTCCTCTTCTTCCTCAATGGCATCGCTTTCATCATCATCATCCCTATCGTCGGACTGCCTACGGAAACGTAGTCCCGAACTCCCTACAGGGGCGTATACGTTGTTGTGCCCCTTTTCAATTTCTTGAAGTCGGCTGTTAAATCCCATCCGTGTTTCGCGTCCGAGTTTTGAATTCGCTGGGTCGCTTTGACGGCGGTTTTTGAAGTGGAGGAAGGCGCGAGGCCGTTTCTTGTTGACCAGGAAGCTCTCGTCGACATCCTTAGCAGTCGAAGAGCGCGAGTTTCGGGTTGCAGTTTGCGAGGGGCGGGCAAGTAGCTTTATCACCGCAAGACTTCTCTTTTTTCTTTTAGAGTCCCCGTCACCGTCATCATCATCATCATCTTTGTCACCATTGTCGCCTCTATCATCATCTCGATCATCATTATCCTTATCATCCTTATCCTGGTCATCATCCTTATCGTCAACCTTATCATCCCCATTTTCATCATCGCCGTCGTCATCATCAGCTTTATCGTCAGCGTCGCGGTCGGACTGTCTCTTAGACCTCACCTTTCCATCGACAACGGCCAGCGGCTGCTTGCTGTTCCTTTCTGCGTCTCCTGTTATTTTCACGAGAGGGCTAGAGAGGTTATCTTTTTGATTTGTGTTGTCCCCGACAACGTCATCAGAGTTTGCGCCAACTTGACCCAAATGTGCTTCTACCATAGGGCTACTATTGGACCGATTGGTTCTTTCAAACATTGCCGCACTACGTTTCCACTCCTTGCCACGTCGCGGCTCAGCGGCGTCACCAATTTTCGATAACATCTCTTCGGGCTGCTTCTCTAAACGCCGGCTCCCTTCAGCACTTCGTTTCCTTTTTCTATCGACACCCTCGCTTCCATCATCATCCCCCTCATCATCATCACCATTTTTATCATCCTCATCATCGTTGTCATCCTCATCGGCCCTTCCTCTATTACGCTTACGTCTGTTAACCTCACTTGACCTGCGCAGCCTCGCCTCAAGGTCAATGTCTAAAATAGTTCGTCCCTTCGAAGGGACTAGATTTGTGAGGTCGGGGTTCGAGTCTTTAGCTTGTGGCAAAGTGTCGAGGCTGCTCGTGCTCATATGGCTTTTGTCAAGGTGAAAGCCTCGAGCAACTTTCCCAACAAACTCTCTGTCGTTCCTCGCCATCGTCTTCTCTGGAACCCTGGATATGCTTCTCTTCTTTCTCTTGTCGCCCTCGTCGTCGTCGTCATCATTGCCACCACGACCCTCGTTATCATCGACTGTCTCTCTTTTTTGCTTATCATCGTCATTTTTGTCGTCGTTCTCTTTGTCGATGTTGCCTTGTTCCTCCTCGTTGTCGTTATCGTCATCTTCTTTGTCATCGTCGGGTTTGTCGTCGTCAGCACTCTGGTCAACATCGTCATCGTCCCCATCATCTTTATTGCCGAGGGTTTGTCTTTTATGCCTTGTCGCTTCACTGGCCTCATTTCCCAGCCAAAGACTTTTGTCCACAACTGTCGGCGTTGATACGAAGCCATGCACTGGATGAACTCCCGCCACTGAGGTTGTGTTCTTGCGCAGCCTTATCGGCTCGGCTCTCAATATATGTATCTTGCCTTGTTCACCCTGCGGGGCCGTCGTTCGATCATTAGCTTTGTTTAGCGATGACTTAGCTGGGGCATTTCGCTTTCTTCTGTCATCTTCACCGTCGTCCTCGTTGTCATCGTAATAATCGTCGTCATCGTCACCATCTTCGTAATCTAAGCCGAGGGTTTGTCTTTTATGCCTGGTCGCTTCACTGGCCTCATTTCCCAGCCAAAGACTTTTGTCCACAACTGTCTGCGTTGATACGAAGCCATGCACTGGATGAACTCCCGCCACTGAGGTTGTGTTCTTGCGCAGCCTTATCGGCTCGGCTCTCAATATATGTATCTTGCCTTGTTCACCCTGCGGGGCCGTCGTTCGATCATTAGCTTTGTTTAGCGATGACTTAGCTGGGGCATTTCGCTTTCTTCTGTCATCTTCACCGTCGTCCTCGTTGTCATCGTCATCATCGTCGTCATCGTCACCATCATCGTAATCTGCGTCGTAATTTTTAGCTCGCCGTTTCGCTCTCGAAATCGCCTCGAAAGAGAAACCGCGAGAATTCTTCTCCCCGTATAGACTTTTCGACGTACTATTGATGATCTCGCCATTACTCTTTACTTCACCGCTTTGGAGTTTCCCGATGGCTGGAATGTAACTGGAATTAGTGTACATCTTTTGAGGCAATGATCTTCTAGGTCCCGTGGTCAAACTTCTATTTATGTGGCCATTTTTTTCACTAACCTTACCATCCTGCATCTTGACTCTCAGTCTAAACTCGTCCAGCGTGTCATTCGCTATAGTGAAAACGTTTCGACTACGGTTCAGCTGATTTATCGTTGGGGTGTTCGGGTCAAACGCGGAAATTTTAAGAGCCAAATTCCTGTCTCGTGCTTTAAACAGGGACCCTTGCTCTGAGCCTTCGTCTCTCTTAAATGGCTCCGACTTCGTAAGTGACTTCGTTTCATTGATGGCGTTTATGTCATCTTGATTATTGGTGTCATTCATTGTTACACTTCCATGGCTGTGACCGGCCTCTTTGTCAGAGTTTCCTTTAAGATCGATCACCTTCTCATGGTCACCTGGCAGGCTGGCCACCTTCCCATGGTCGCCGGTCAGACCGGTCACCTTCCCAATGTCGCCAGGCAGACCAGCCACCTTCCCGTGGTCATCATTCAGGCCGGCTACTTTCCCGCGGTCACTGTTCAGACGGAACACCTCCCCGCTGCCCGCTTTCAGATTCCGTGATGCATTCAACCTTCCCCTTCTGTACTTGGTGCCGTCAGCATTTCTCTTTCTCCTCAATTCAGTACTGTTGTAACTCCCAGCGACCGGCATCTGGTCTCGCCACTGCACACCCGGCCCGGGTCTCATAGCCTTCAGTTCGTTCAGCGAATGATATATACCATTGGGGTCGTCCGTGTCAGTCTCAAGCCCAGGAATAGGCTGGCCCTCTGCGTACATTTAACATGCACATATTTAGCACAATTCATACAATGGCAGAAAATGGGTTTTAAAAATAAGTAAAATACCAGCACTGAAGATAGTTTTCTATTTGAAAATTCAATAACGAAATCTTGCTCTTATATGAGTATTCCGTGTGGCAGTTTCCACACTTTCAACACTTTAAACAAGCTATAATATTATTGTTGGCATTCAGTAATTTAGCTGAATGCGATTCATTTCTAGAAAATGTGTATATTTTTTAGTTGGTAACAACTGATAGATTTGGTTTTTCGGGTAGTTGTGTGAGGGTTGGGGGGGGGGGGTTGTATTTCCACGCCCCGGATCGTCAACTAAAACATTAGATTTCAAATTAAATCTAAAAAGGAATGACGTTGATTCACGATTCATTTCTAGAAAATGTGTATATTTTTTAGTTGGTAACAACTGATAGATTTGGTTTTTCGGGTAGTTGTGTGAGGGTTGGTGGGGGGGGGATTGTATTTCCACGCACACGATCGTCAACTAAAACATTAGATTTCAAATTAAATCTAAAAAGGAATGACGTTGATTCGAATACGAGGCCCCTTACTATATTATTGGGGGCGAGGGGCGTCAGCAGGCTTAAAAAAACAAACAAACCATGGTTTGGGGGCAAATGGGTAATTGGGTTCAGGGGGGTCACTGGGGATTTAAAAAAAAAATATGTCTGGAGGTGAGGGGGGACAGCGGGGATTTTGTTGACCCACGGGCTCCCTCTTCCTTAGGGCCTCTTTTTAGGGGCCATTGAAAGAACATCTATAGGTAATATGTTTAATTGTTTTTATAAAAGCTCCGTCCTAAGTCTTACATAAAAAGTGCTGTTTTTTTTTCAACGTTACATTTATTTTTAATCGCAATTGATTGCTAACAGATTAAGAACCAAGATTTCTGTAATATTACACATTTTAAGAGGGACATAAAGAGGTTGCTCGTCCCGATTCTCCCCACGTCCTCTGAAAATCATTGTTTTAAAAATGTATGTATTGTCCACAGCCAGCGGTCAGTTTGACTGACCTTTCATGGCTTGTCTCTTTTCGCGCCAATGTTCGTCCTGGGACTTCTGGTGGTTACTGGATTGGACCTGGAAGATACATCAAGAGCAACTTACAAATCCATTGATACCAGGTATGTGATCGGGCTGTAATACTGTGTGGGACAGAATGACATTGCGTGTTTAATGATTCGTGCGTTTTTAAAAGAAATACATTGATCAATTGGCCTGAGAAGACTTGTTGAAACATTGTAAGGGAGAAAAAAAAATTGGGATCGGGAGAGGCGAGACAGTCAGATAGAAAGACAGACAGAAATTCAGACAGAAATTCAGACAGAAATTCAGACAGAAAGTCAAGACAGAAGGTCAGACAGAAAGTCAGACGGTCACACAGAAAGACATACCAACGGTCAGACAGAAATGAAGACAGACGCAGTCAGACAGAAAAGGACAGAGAAGGACAGACAAGCAACGAGAGCCAGAAAGACAAAGAGTTACAGAAAGGGGAGAGGCAAACAGACCAATAAACACGATGATAATAAGGATGTTCGTGCTTCGCATGCGAAGATGGTCAAGCAATTTTTTACTTTTACTTGAGTAGTAGCCTCGACTTGACTTGAGCCGTACTTTGTTTAATGTGAGGGAGAGCTGCTCAATTCGTCAGCCTCACTCACTCGTCTATTTGATCCAATGGCAAGGATAAGCCAAGATGACTGGAAATAGACCAGGATGTAGTAGATGACCAGCAGTGTGTCTTATGTGTGTCTCACTGTGCTCTTTATGCCCTCTACGTCGCAGAAGTTAGCGACATTTTAAAAATTGTGTATCACCTACGGTGACAACATCTCCGGGTTAAATTTCACAGTTTCGCACTCTCTATCATAAGCTGCCCTCCAAGGTTAACGAATGCCATCCACCGGAGGTACTATTTCGTTGTTGCTTGTCTAGGCATTTTCTGTGGATTGAACTTGACTTGAGCTGTATTTTTTTTTTTTTTTGAAGTGATAGAGAGTTCCTCAGTTGGTCATTCTCTCGTCCTTGCCTATTCATGCAACGGCAAGAATTAGTCAAGACGACGGGAAGCTGCTTAAACACACTTGTGAAAGAGATCAGATATGTAAATCATTCAGAGTAAACCCCTCCCCCTTCCTTTTTCCCCCCTCTCCTAATCGCAACCCAAACACACAGAAGCAAAGTAGCAAAACCAAATACTAACCGGTCTGAGAGTTCGCGGCAACGGTGCCACTGTGTCTTGGGGGTCACCCAGTGCGTCCGTCGCACAGTACACAAATACGGCGAAGCTGATGACCTGTGTGCAGACGAATTTCATGGTTGACATTAAAGTTTCAATGGTCAACACTAACTGGTGGCGTCATATTTGTTTACCATTTGGACACAGGGAAACATCGTAAAAATATCAATTGTAAATCACTTATAGCTTTACTTTGTCAAGGCTCAAAATTGTTTATATATATCTTATAAAAAGTCATTAAAACTACGAAAAAAGGATTTCTTAGTGTTTCGTGCGTTTTCGGTTTCTTTGACAATTCGTCTGAACGCTTCACGACAAGTGCGCACTTTTTGATGTAAGTGCTAGTGTGCAAAATAACACTGTGAAACATTTTAAAATACAAATGGGTGACTAAGAGACTATGTCGAACTCGTTTAATAAGGATTTAGACTAACACTTTAAAATTATAGGGTCAATATTATTCTAAAATAAATTTTTTTGAAAACATACGTATAATTTTTAAAAGTAGTTTAAAATATGGCGTTCAATTTAGGGAATTTGTGTGAGGCAGCAACACAGGAAATTTATATGACGTAGCACACAACTTTAAAAAAAAAAAATAGTCTAGTTGCCGATTGCAAAGTAAACAAGCTTTGAAGAAGTTGTTGATTTTTTTTAGTGTGTCGAGGACACGATCCGTATGAATGAATTTATTCACAAATAAGGTGTCCACCTTAAGACCCGAGAGTTCTTGAGGGAATGAATGCAGACGACAAAGAGTTTTCTCCCCACATCAAGCATTCTCGAAACTTCGAGAACAGACGGAAACGCATGAACCGTAAATGACAGCTCTATTTTTTTATAACTTTTACCGCTAGTCCTACCCGAGCAGTATCTAAAACTACAGTGTGAATATCAAGTCACGTGTTTATAAGTGATCATTTTTGTGTTCTAGAAATGCATCGACATGTTAAGATTTTGGTATTTTTAGGAAATTCAGATCTTAAAGTATATAATACTTAGTGAAATTAAAACCTAGTTGAAGACCTCACTAGTACATCGAAACCAATGCGTAGATCAAAGCTATCCAGTGCATAAAACAAAAAAATTAATACCCGTGAATCGACGTTACGAAGTATTCAAGATACGAACCCCCAATATTTAAACACGATGAGAGTTCAGCTGAAGTTTGCCGGAGAGTGTTATTTCAGATTAAAACACGTTTTCCGTGGTTCTCGCGCGGAGGAGACCAACTTTCTTCAGCGTGGCAGCCATACGAACTCCCAGCAGCCCAACAACTCCCGGGACGTAACGGGTGCAGTGCGCCCTCGGGATCACCTGTGGGCAAAAGCAGGAAAGAGAACTCTTACCAACAAGCAGACCACCTCCGGGTCACCTGACGACGACGAGAACATGAAGCTCACTCACGTGATCGACCATTTCTTCGACAGAGCCTCGGCGCTGCTGGAGCAAAAACTCTTGGATAACTTCGTGTGAGTTTCTTGCATAATAAATAAATAAAAACTAAAACTTAATTCCTACATGTATATAATAATTTAACAATAAGTCAGGACGTTTTCAGAACTTATGAAACGGGAAACAACCATAATATTTTCATCACCACTTGTTTGTCTAATGTCCACAAAGCTTCAGTTACGCTCGCATCTATCTTGTTGTTCATTAGTACTGTGAGCCACGGCATGGACCCGCTGCTGTATTGAACACCGGGTTGGCTGAGTCTAAACGGTTCAGATTCTTGTAACTGTTTGCTCCAATATGTACCGGATCCCCAGTGAGCTATTCCTGGTACAACTGCAGTACCGGGTGACCTCTGTGCACGCGCGGAGCAATTGCAGGTTCCCGTGCATTGAGGCTATTTAGAAAGAAAGTTGATATGCAGGTTTCCGTGCATTGAGGCTATGTAGAAAGAAAGTTGATATGCAGGTTTCCGTGCATTGAGGCTATGTAGAAAGAAAGTTGATATGCAGGTTTCCGTGCATTGAGGCTATGTAGAAAGAAAGTTGATATGCAGGTTTCCGTGCATTGAGGCTATGTAGAAAGAAAGTTGATATGCAGGTTTCCGTGCATTGAGGCTATGTAGAAAGAAAGTTGATATGCAGGTTTCCGTGCATTGAGGCTATTTAGAAAGAAAGTTGATATGCAGGTTTCCGTGCATTGAGGCTATGTAGAAAGAAAGTTGATATGCAGGTTTCCGTGCATTGAGGCTATGTAGAAAGAAAGTTGATATGCAGGTTTCCGTGCATTGAGGCTATGTAGAAAGAAAGTTGATATGCAATAGAAAACTTTGTCGTTGACCTTTTTTTTCTTCAAGCCAATCATATTTTTTGAAAACAATAATGTCTACACTGAGTTCTTGTTTCAAGCCCATTCCACTTCTTGCCGTTTCTATATCTTTCTCTGTCGAGCTCCCTGAAAAAGATTTTTTTTAAAATACGGATATTTGTATTAAAAAAAGTAGTTAAAGGAGAGTGCGAGATTCACAGTGGGACAGACCATCAGACGCGTGTTCACACAAAATCGTTGTCTTATTTTTGTAATCATTTTTTTATATACAAGAATTCTGAGGGGGGTCTTACCAGAGACGAAGTCCATCGGGGATTACAGCAGATCTTTTCAAACTCTGACAAACGGGCCGGCAAATGTTACGCAAATTGAAGCAGTGATTAATGATTAAGTTTACTGGTATTTTTCAATTTTATATAATCTTAGACGTTCTGCTCTTTTTTTTGTTGTTGTTGCTGATCAGCGACAGATAACTTGCGGACGTGTTCCGGGAAGTGGGCGACCACTTTTGATAGCACCGGAATACACCCAGGTGTTTATACACCGAGTGACCTTAACGCCATTGACCCCACTGGATTTTTATGTCTCTTCTATTTCATTTCAAATCTGCCCCCTATCTTCTCTGTAACGTCAAGGCAAAACAAAGTGACCAACATGACCGTCGAGGAGAAGATCAACAGGATCCGAGGCATCCTCTCGGTCATCAAGCCCTGCTCCCACGTTCTGACCATCTCATTCCCCTTGAAGAGAGACGACGGGACGGTCGATGTTATCCAGGCGTGCCGCGCACAGCACAAGCAGCACAGGACCCCCAGCAAAGGCGGGATCAGGTTCAGGTGAGAGCAAGACGTCTGGGGCAGATTTGGAATGTCGGTTAAATCTGGGGGTAAAGTTCAGGTAAGTCGGGATAAGGCTCTGCATTGTGGAAATCGGGTTACGGTACGTTGGAATCATATGAAGTAAGCGTGGATTAGATTAGGAAAGTATATACGGACCAACAGAGGATAAATATGGATATACTATACTACTCAACCAGGAATTGTATGGACTATATCAGGATCCCACGTTAGAAGCAGAAATAAAAAAAAAAGTGCAGGTTACGCTGGGTGGGACAGTTAGAAAGAATGCCAAATAACAGAGGAGTGAAGAGGGTGCACCACCAAAACACAAGAGGAAAACTACCCAAAGGCAGACCTAGGCTTAGAGGGATGGATGGTGTGGAAAAATATCTACAGCAGCTGGGAATCCAAACATGGAAAAGAAAAGCACCGGTTAGGTCTGAGTGGAAGGGGTGAGGCACAGGGTTGGATGGATGGCTTAGATTTAGGTTAGTCGGTTAGTCTTAGATTTTCTCTTTCTCGTAGCTTTTGAATTCACTGTCAAATTCGTTGCCAGTGGTATGCATTAAATGTCAAACTTTGGGGGGAAAGTGGAGGCGGAGAGAGAGAGAGAGAGAGAGAGAGAGAGAGAGAGAGAGAGGCGGGGAGGAGGGGGGAAATTTGTTAAATACGTGTACTCATTTGTGTTGCTACCTTTCCTCCCCCACCCCACCCAGTGAAAACGTTGACTATGACGATGTGGCTGCCCTGGCAGCTCTGATGACCTACAAG